TGCACACACACACACACACACACACACACACACACACACGCATGCACGCACACACACACACACACACACACACACATGGAATACATAGCGGGGGGAAACCCAGCTGCAGAACCTGACGCTGCTGAACTCCTGGAGAGGAGGAGGAGGAGGAGGAGGAGGAGGAGGAGGAGGAGGAGGAGGAGGAGGAGGATGGCCAAGACATGACAACCATTTGGTGACATCAGCATCACCTGAACCCAGAGGTTGGGGATTATCACCTCACATCTCCCTGGCCAGATAACCCTCTCCCCCTCTCTCCCCTCTCTCCTCACCTCTCCCCCCTCTCTCCCCGCCTCTCCGCTCTCTCTCCCCTCTCTCTCCCGACTTCTCCCCCCCTCTCCCACTCTCCCCAAGCGACGGTGTGTCCTTCCCAGACGCTCAGCAGGTACTAATCAGGGATTAGAACTGTCGCTCCATGCTGGGCAATAACACCCAGACACGCTCAGCCAGATGTGGGCCAGATGCGGTGCAACTCACTCACTGCTTCAAAGAAACAATTAGGGACAATTATGGTAACATATAAATGAATTTCATCCACCATTAAAATGTTTGGAGTGTTTGGTGTGTGTGGTGGTGGGGGGATGGTGTGTGTGTGGTGGTGGTGGGTGGGTGGGTGGGGGGGGGGGGGGGTGGACCAGGTGGTTGTAATCTGGATGGCAGTCTCGACGGGACCTCTCTGGAGCTAACCCTTACAGAGCTGTTTATACAGACGGCTAGCTGTGGTCAACCACACAGCCAGGGCCGAATTAAGAAGGCCAGGGGCCCCTAGGCTGCAGGTTGATGTAGGCCCCCCACCCCCCACCATGAAGCTAGCGGAGATTTTTGTTGAGCGGGGGGGGTGGGGGGGTGGGGGGGGTGCTAGCGGAGATTTTTGTTGAGCGGGGGGGTGGGGGGGGGGGTGCTAGCGGAGATTTTTGTTGAGCGGGGGGGGCTGATCGAAGCGCTGGCGGATCGGGGGCTACCGGATCGGGGGGCCCCCGATTGGCCGAATCGGGGGGCCCCCCTGGCAGACTGGCACACGTGGGGCCCCTAGGCTGCAGCCATATCTAGCCTGTGCGTTAGTCCGGCCCTGCACACAGCCTATTGCACGCTGACACGCACACTCTAGCACACACACATGTATAACACACACACACACACACACACACACACACACACACACACACACACACACACACACACACACAGATGCTTACACACATGCTTACACACACGTGCTACCATGCACAAACAAAGGCTAACACACACACACAGGCATGTGTCCCTTCATTCCTCTGTAAAGGCAGTCGTCTTAATAGAGCACACTGCCCAATGAAAGTTAATAACACTGATCTGGTCTGGTCTGGTTGGTTCTGGTTGGGTCTGGTCAGGTCGGGTGAGGTCGGCTCTGATCTGGTCTGGTCTAGTCTGTTTTGGTCTGGTCTGGTCTGGTCTGGCTGGGAGTGTTCCAGCTCTCATAATAAACTGCCCCCCCCTGCCAGGATCACAGTCCTCCTCCCCGAGACCCCACCAGGACCGTAGTCCTCCTCCCCGAGACCCCGGCAGGCCCACAGTCCTCCTCCCTGAGACCCCGCCAGGACCACAGTCTTCCTCCCCGAGACCCTGCCAGGATCACAGTCTTCCTCCCCGAGACCCCGCCAGGACCACAGTCCTCCTTCCCGAGACTGGCAGGACCACAGTCCTCTTGGGTTTGAAAGACTGGGAACATGGAGGTACCGGGCTGGTGATACATCCAGATTCCAATGTCAACCATTTGTCCGACTGCAGCACAGAAAAGGGCTGTGTGCTGGTCCACACAGGTACCGCCTTGGATCCTGCCAAACTGCCACCGTGCCACCCTGCACCCTAACACCCTGCAGCCTAACACCCTGCCACCCTGCACCCTTCCACCCTGCCACCCTAACACCCTACCACCCTACCACCCTAACACCCTGCCACTGTGCCTCAGAGTCCTCAGTGAAGGTGTGAGGGTGCCGGTCTGATTCCCAATAAAACAGCGGAACAAGGAGAGCTCTCTCTGCTACTGTCTTATGAACACACACGCACACACACACACACACACACACACACACACACACACACACACACACACACACACATCTTTATATCAGCTGATAAATATCTCTGGGGTCATTTATGTGTTTACTCCTCAGATTAAAGAGATCCATCTCGGAGGCGTGGCATTTACCCAGCATGCCTTGCAGTTGGCCAGTGTCAGCCGGTATAATGTTGATGTACGACCAGTGACCACAGCGACGCTTTATCTCTGTTCTTGTCACATGGGGGGGGGAGGGGGACACCTGTGGGGGCTCTGTACACATCGATCAGGAGGGTGTCAGTCTAGGGTGGGGGGTGTGGGGGGGTACAGGGAGAGGAAAAATATTCTCACTAATTCAGCGTCCCCACAAGGTCAATGGTTTGTGTGTACTTTAATCTTTAATTATGTGTGCATGTGTGTGTGTGTGTGTGTTTGTTTAGTATTAGTATTAGTACTATTAGTATGAGTATGAGTACTATTACTATGAGTATTAGTACTATTAGTATGAGTATGAGTACTATTAGTATGAGTACTATTAGTGTGAGTATTAGTACTATTAGTATGAGTATGAGTACTATTAGTATGAGTATTAGTACTATTAGTATGAGTACTATTAGTATGAGTATTAGGAGTGAGGGTTAGGGGTAAGGGGTGAGCGTTAGGGGTAAGGGGTTAGGGTTAGGGGTGAGGGTTAGGGGTTAGGATTAGGGTTAGGGGTTAGGGATTAGGGTTAGGGGTTAGGGTGAGCGTTAGGGGTAAGGGGTTAGGGTTAGGCGTGAGGGTTAGGGTTAGGGGTTAGGGTTAGGGGTAAGGGGTGACCCCGGATTTCCACCGGGGACGTCAGCATCGCGTGAGCGTCGCGTTATGTCTGCGTTGCGGTCGCCGCTGCTGATCGCTGCCACTCTAGTCAATGAATGCATTTCCACCGGGCGCGCTGTGTAACGTCTCAGCAGCGTCCCAGGAGCGGCGTGCCGCAGCCGTAACACTATCATTACGCAGCATTCTATTTTTGACGCGAGCCGCTGCTGAAACGCATCAATTTAAACAGAGCAGACCGACCGGGCAGGAAGTGAAATAGTAAAAGCCATAGAACATCCGGTCAATTTTCAAAATAAAAACACCCTCCCGATCGAACACGGCCACAAATCGTTGTCGTTTATAACTGACTTTGTCTATAGGCTACAGCACAACACATTAGGACATAACAACAATAAACAACACTAAATACAATTAAACCAGACAAAAAAGTAAACATTTACTATATAGCCTACCAACTCATGGTAGAAGCACACAAATCTAGGAAAAACGACCAAATCAACTGCAAGTCAACTTCGGAAAGGCAAAGTAACGTTTTATTTGTTTGTTCTATTTTGACATCCACAAATTATCGCGTGGTCTCCTGATTCTCGCGTGGTCTTGTAGTTCTCGCGTGATCCCGCGAATCCAGCCGCCTCGCAGCGCTACGCTGCCGTTACGCGTCCGGTGGAAATTGACGCAGGGCAGAGGACGCAGCCGTAACGCGACGCTCACGTCCCGGTGGAAATCCGGGGTGAGGGTTAAGGCCGCAGTATACTCGCCGTTCCCAAGCTGTCGCGCGCCATTGTGACGTCAAAATGACGTAGATCTCGCCGGCGCGACAGGATTTTGGCCCGTTCGCGCCGTGTCGCGCACCTCTCTTTTTTTTTCAGCGGCGCGCGACAAAGCGGAAACAAACACGGATGAGTTCGAAGGCACATTTTAATGCGCCTTATTGCTAAGGCTTCTTCCTTTATATGTTCTATTTTATTGTGTGGTGTGTATTCTTTCGCTAATAAACCGTGGTTTTACGTACGTGCTGTCTACTGTTGTTGTGGTCAAAGGCGAGTGAAATTACGTGGCTGAAAAACTATCTCAAAGCGGCAGTAAGTTATAAAATAAAAGTATATAAGATAATCACTAAGTTATTAAGATGGATGCTTACAAACACTATTCATATGAGAACTGCTGCCATACACTGGACTGTTGATGGCTGACCAGGTGTGGCAGTGATGTAGAATAATAGCAATGTAAAGTAATAGACATAATGCTGTATAGTGAGAGACGTCCCGGTGAACTATTGAAGACACAGGGGTGCCAGTATTAGCATATCTCTTCTTCTACTGCATAGAAATAGCAGAGTCGGTAGCCTTTCCTCAGTAGCGCCACCTCTGTTCAGGAGAAGACTGCAACTACTGTCGCGGCCACCAGCGCAAATAGTTACCGTGCTCCCGTGACGTCACATTGTCGCGCGACAGCTTGGGAACGGCGAGTATACTGCGGCCTTTAGGGGTAAGGATTAACCATCAGTAACAAAAAGATGATCTACAAGCCTCTCTAGAGTGCCTCTCTCTCTCACTCTCCCCCCGCACCCCCCCCTGTCGCCCCCTCTCTCTCTGATTGCTTCCATACCAAGAGAGTGAGGTGCAGCTGCAGACAAATCAGCTCCATGTTGAAAACAACAATTCAAATATTAATGAAATAAATGAAAACAAATATTCTGCTCATTGATAGATTATTTTCATGTCCTGTACCGACCGGCCCTAGTCTGGCAAGCCAGACCCACATCAGAAAGATGTAAGGTCTGGCGCAACTCCATTGACAGTGTGGGCGGGATAAATGGTTGTCTTTCAAGTTCCCTCTGCACGCAATAGGATAGCGCTACAACCAATCAGAGCAACGAAGAAGGTGACATAGTCAGAGTCAGAGCCGTCGCTCTGACTACGGTGCCAACAGCAGTGTGCCCTGAAGGCCTGCTAAAACAGATGTGTTCACCATTAAGACAAATTACAATTATAAACATTATTATAGACCGCTCTACATAGTAAAGTTCAAATATAACACTTTTTGTGAAAGTACACTATACTACTATACTAATTACATTCTTCATGTTCTTTGATAGGGGGCAGGGGAGTCTAGTGGTCAGGGTGCTCCACTCCCAGCTGAAAGGTTCTGGGTTCAATCCCCAGTGTCCTCAGTCTACTTGTAGGCATCCCAGAGCAAGATGCCCCCTGACCCCTACCTGCTCCGTAATGACATCATTCACTGTAAGTCTCTTTGGATAAAAGCGTCTGCTACATAGTAAACAGTTAACGAGAATTTCAATGAGATTATGTCAGTCACAGACAACAAGATAAAATAATAATAATTTGTAGCCTGTAAGTACCTCCAACCTTAAAGTACAATTCCGGCGCAAAATGAGACCATATGATCATAACACATGTCCACCGAGTTGGACCGTTCTCTGGGATCAGTTTTCATTCTAGTCGAATGGAACTAAAGTTCTCGAAAACTGCTAATTAGCTTATAACGCTAGCTGTAGGGACAGATATTCATGTAAAATAAACTGGTTGTGACTGTTTTCCAAAGATGGCGCCCGCTTGTTTTCGTGAAGGCACTGGCTTCCTAAACTTTCTTTTTAATAAACTGTCTGTACACTTACAAAGTTCTCAATGCTTTGTTTTACATGTAGGGACCCTCATTATGCTACCGTGGAAGTGTGGTGCGATTTTGAGCCTTGTTAGTGGTATAGAATTGCGATTTATTTTACATGAATATCTGCCCCCACAGCAGGAATTGTCCTTTAAGGCTGTGGAACCAAGAACACAAGTATCCTGCATTTCCCTTGGTTCTATGAAGTTCTAGGCAGCCGATGTCTCACATCTGCACATATGCAGGTGCTACTGATGAAGGTCTCCGGCATGACTGGAACATCATCCAGTTATACAATAAAAGCCCTCCTCGGAGAGATATCACAATAAAAGCCCTCCTCGGAGAGAAATCACTTTTACAAGCGTTGTGGAGTGTGGAAGTGATCTGGGGAGATCTATAAATATATTAAAAGGCTGATTTCACTTTCTGAATGTAAAATTGCCCCAGAGCAGCTGTTAAAGTAAACAACATCTGTCTCGCTGAATGGACTACACACACACTTATAGAACTACCCGCATATAGAACTACACACATATAGAACTGCACACATACAATAAACTACACACATATACAATGAATTAACTACACACACACACACACACACACACACACACACACACACACACACACACACACACACACACATGTACATGTGTGTGTGTGTGTGTGTGTGCATGTGTTGAGGCACATCTTTCCTACAATTGATATTTTGATATTTATGGGGTCAACCCATGACCCTCATCTCTGGTTTCAACAGTCCTGGACCTTCACAACATTACACCATTAAAACCATAGAGCTAGACTCCTAGATCCGAGACCTCCTAGATCCCTAGACCCGAGATCTACCGAGATCAATTACATTAATTTATATCATTAATTAAGCTAATCCACTGAATGTAAAGAATGTACTAATTGTGAATAAAGTCCTTAATGTCCTTCGTCAGACCACAAATGTGGCATCAGGTTCTCCTTGTTGTTCTGCTCCTCAATTAGTAACTTCTGTGTTGAAGGGGAGCTGGAGGACGACCGCCCCAGCGTTCATCTGTTGACGAACATCCTCTCCGATGGTTTGTTGACACCAGACACGCCGTTAGCGTCTGTCATCTCGTCAGCTCTCATCCACATCACAAAGTCTCACACCATCCCCTCCGCTGTCCGGGCCACGCGTCTGGGCACGACACAACAACCACTCGCAGCCTTGCTAAACTAACTCCTGCCAACGGCAACGTTGTTCCCTTTGTACCGAAACTTTAGGACACACGTGCAATTAGCCCCGCCCACGTCTGCATTCCATCTCTTCAGTGCAGCACATAACAACGTCTACCTCGACTGTCAGCAACGGTCACATGTAGTTCTACTACTCTCCTGTACTTTCTGCTATGACACCCCAATAAAGTACCATCTTTCCCCAGGAACCCTAACCCTAACCCCAGGAATACAGGAAGCATTTCTGGAAAAAAAACATCATAATAGATTTTGTTTTCCAGAAATGTTTCCTGTATTTGTTGGTGGTTACCTCACTGTCTGAACGTCTCATCTCTCTCCTTAGATCTTCACATTGGATGGGACACAGCCTGTGGTGTCTGGGAAATAAAACACAAGTATATGTTTCAGTTTAATTACAGGCGAACCCAGGTTCCACGCGGCTCACCGCATACCACGCAATCGCTCTGAGATGGGAACTTCCCCCGTTCAGTCTTCTGCTCCTCAGGTGTGTGGGAGGGGAGGGGAGGGGAGACCAGAGCTTTCCCAGAGCATAGGTTGTTGGAACAGAGCTGTGAAGAACCATCCGATCATCTGACATGTTCTTGATGGTTCTTGATGGTCCTAGATGGTTCTTGGTGGTTCTTGATGGTTGTTCATGGTTCTTGGTGGTTCTATACTGCCGTACGGTTCCTTTAGCCCCTGTACTGCCACTGTGCACCCAGAGAAAAGGGTAGATGTATTCTTAAGATAAAATGTACCAAATTAACCCCAGACAGTAGTTTACTTTGTAGTCTACTCTACTCTACTACTCTAAAACTGCTACATTTTAATAAAACATGGTGAAATGTTTCTGGGGAGGAGAAGATTGTGCCTCCAGGTCATGGTGTGGTTCTGGTGAGTTCTGGCCCTTCTCTCCTCTGGGATATTTTTGTTTCTTTTCAGAACTGCAGGGACATAAATGGTTCTGGGTGTTCACTTGTGTCAGAGGAAGTTACCAGAGGGGGGGGGGGCCGGAGGACCTAATGGAGAACAACGGTCAATTGCTGAGGCCCAACCAGAGAGAGAGGAACAAGTGTGTAAGTGTGACGGTGTCTTTGTGTGTGTGTGTGTGTGTGGGGGGATAGGTTTGGGTTTCTTGAAGGAATAATTTAACACTTCTGGAACACGGTGTGACATGCTGTGTAGTTGAATGCCCCCACCTCAACATAACCAGGATGGACCCAGGATGAACCAGCCATAAACACATTCATGTAGGAGCAGAAGATTATATTTTACACATTTAGGTTACACGCATATGGAATTACGACCTTCGCAACAGTTCTGATGAGCTGTTTAATTTGAGGAAAGTTATCAGTCGTTAGCATAGCTATGCTAACTTCACAAGCTAACTGCGGGATTCATCTCAATGTCTGACGGCTTGAGTGTGAATCAAAGACAAAGTGAATCAAAGACAGCAGCCATGGAACACTTTGGACTGAGTACAATGGGTTTTTATTTGGGTTTTTAAGACCACCACCCGGGCATCCAGACCTGACAGAAACAAGTTCTGACCTAACAAGCGAAGGATTTTAGTCACAAACACGTCCATTGGTATTGCATTATCAAATACTCCTAACATGGAGTACTGGATCAACACACACATACAAAATGTGGGTAACCCTCCTTTTACAGTCCGGTAATTACCAGGTAATTACCTGGTAATAAGATGTATTTACTAAGTAATAACCAGGTAATTAAATGTAATTACCTTGTAATTACCAAGTACTTACCAGGTAAATATGTATTTACATTACATATTTATCTGGTAAATACCAAAAAGTTATCTGATATTTACTAGATATTTTCCTGACATCTACCAGGTATTTACCCAATAATTACCTGGTAGATATCCTGCAATTGCATATTGTAGACAAACCCACTGAATGTGTCTATATGTGACTTTGTTAGGGTGATAATACCTTATATATTTACCTGGTACTTACCAGGTATTTACTCAAAAATGATTGCATATTTGCCTGGTAACTACCACTTATTTACCTGGTCGTTACCTGATATTTACCTGGTAAATAACAACAAGTTACCCAGTATTTACTAGATATATACTGAAAACTACCAGGTATTTATCCAGGAATGATAGATTATTACAGTACAGTTCCACCTTTCTTACAGGGTAACTACTCTGTAAAACTCCGATATCACCCCGATAATTATCAGGGAGATATGGGAGTTTTTGCCAGATACCATGTTTAAAACTACACACCCTAATGGGTGGTAGAGGATTATAATCTACAGTTACCAGGAAAGTATATGGTAATATCATTGAAACAAACCACGCTTCCTTTTACAGTACAGTTCCACCTTTCTTACAGGGTAATTCACAGGGTTTTACCTGATAATGTTTTGGAATGTACGTGGTACACATTTGTAATTACTGGGTAAATACCAGTTAATATCTGCATAAATACATGGGGGTTATTGGGTAAATTGTAACTACTGGGTAATTAGAAAGTAATGACTTAGTAAATAGTTGCAAGTTATCAAGTAAATACTGGGTAATTACCAGGTAAATATCAGAGTCATTACTACCCTCACTGTCACTACACAGGTTGATTGGTAATACATAATCTATAATTCCTGGATAAATACCTTTTCAGTATATATCTAGTAAATACTGGGTAACTTGTTGGTATTTACCAGGTAAATAAGTGGTAGTTACCAGGTAAATATGCGATCATTTTTTAGTAAATACCTGGTAAGTACCAGGTAAATATATAACTTAATATCACCCTATGTCACATATAGACACATTTAGTGGGTTTATTGTCTACAATATGCAATTGCAGGATATCTACCACGGGTAATTATTGGGTAAATACCTGGTAGATGTCAGGAAAATATCTAGTAAATATCAGGTAACTTGTTGGTATTTACCAGATAAATATGTAATGTAAATACTGGGTAATTACCTGGTAATTACAAGGTAATTACATTTAATTACCTGTTATTACTTAGTAAATACTAGAGGTGCGCGGATGGGCTATTATTGTATCCGCAACCGCATCACAAAACTCATCATCCGTCCGCCATCCATCCGCACCAACGTTTTTTGACCAATTTCAAAACCGCACCCGCCCGCCATCCGCGGGCGCTGCTGACGCGAGAAAAAAAAGTGTGCTCGTTTTTATCGGATGCAAGTAACAATATTTAACAATGTAACTTATATATATCTTTTCATTTGATTGGTTCAACCGCCACCCGCCCAAATTTAATTAAAATATTATTTTTCGTAAGGTCATCCGCCCGATCCGCGGTTTAACCGCGGAGTCCGCGGCTGTAACC